GGCAGAGCCAGCTGTACCCGCCCCCTCCCCCGTCCGTTCCACCAGTCAGCGCTGGAGGATCGGAGCGGGGAGGGGGGAATCCAGCCCCTCCCCTGTCACGGCAGAGAGCTGTGACAGGATCGAGAGGTGAGCGAACGCTGGTATGTGTTCCCTCACTTCCCGATCTTCTGAGCCGACCCGTGACAGTCTCATTGTCACAGCTCGGCTAGAACTATGAGGTGAGTGAAAAGCACCCCCCTCCCCCCCACCTCATAGTTCTCCTTTTAAATATGACGTCAAAGGACTTGTGTTGCCCTTTAAAGCAAAACTTTCCCAAGAGACCCCATGGGGGCTGCCATTGCCAACCTAAGACTTCTAACCAAATGGGTTCAGTTAGGTTTGAGTCACTGACCTGAAACAAGTGTACACACCTGGAAAGTCACACACCCCATCATCTGCATTCTTGTTCCAGACAAGCGGTGCGAATCATGGAAACAGGAGGATGAACATGGCAGCCAAGAAACTAGCAATGGCCGCCTCCCATGTCTCTCTTGGGAAAAGTTCCAAAAGTCTGCGGGCGTCCGACCATCACACCCCTATGTGCTTGTTAGACATCCCATTACAGGATAATGGCCATTGATATGGATTTGCCCCCCTCCCTCCCCTCCCCCATAGCTATTAATCGCCCCCTTTGTGAACACCCTCCACTCTTCTGGGAAGGCTTTCCATAAGATTTTGGAGGGTGTCTGAGGGAATTTGTCCCATTTGTGAGGTCAGGTACTGATGTTGGATGAGAAGACCCGGCTCATAATCAGTGTTCTAATTCATCCCAGAGGTGCTCAGTAGGGATGAGGTCGGGGCTCCGTGCAGGACACTCGAGTTCCTCCACCAGACTGATCACACCATGTCTGTATGTAGCTTGGAGATTAAAATAAAGTTGTCACCCTTTACAGCTATAGCAGCCTCCAATATTTTGGGGAGACTTTCCACCAGATTTTGGAGGGTGTCTGTCGGAATGTGTTCCCATTCAGCCAAAAGAGCGTTTGTGAGGTCAGGCACTGATGTTGGATGAGGAGATCGGTCTCACAATCGGCGGCCAATTTATCCCAGAGGTGCTCAGTAGGGTTGAGGTCCGGGCTCTGAGTCTGTACAGGACACTCGAGTTCCTCCACCAGACTGGTCCCCCCCCCCATGTCTTTATGGAGCTTTGTACACAGGGGACAGTCATGGGGGGGACAGAAAAGAGTCTTCACTAAACTGTGACCACAAGGCTGCAGGAGCACAATTGTCTACAATGTCTTTGTATGATGGAGGATCACCTGAACTCCATGATTTGGAGCAGGGCCCTTAGACTTTTGGCCATATAGTAGGTGTGATGGTCAGGTGTCCACATACTGATAGCTATATAGTATAAGAGAACCCAGAAGAGCAGACACTCCCCCTTCTCATCCTATGTACCAGACGCTCCCCCTTCTCATCCTATGTACCGGACGCTCCCCCTGCTCATCCTATGTACCGGACGCTCCCCCTTCTCATCCTATGTACCGGACGCTCCCCCTGCTCATCCTATGTACCGGACGCTCCCCCTTCTCATCCTATGTACCGGACGCTCCCCCTGCTCATCCTATGTACCGGACGCTCCCCCTTCTCATCCTATGTACCGGACGCTCCCCCTGCTCATCCTATGTACCGGACGCTCCCCCTTCTCATCCTATGTACCGGACGCTCCCCCTGCTCATCCTATGTACCGGACGCTCCCCCTTCTCATCCTATGTACCGGACGCTCCCCCTGCTCATCCTATGTACCGGACGCTCCCCCTTCTCATCCTATGTACCGGACGCTCCCCCTGCTCATCCTATGTACCGGACGCTCCCCCTTCTCATCCTATGTACCGGACGCTCCCCCTGCTCATCCTATGTACCGGACGCTCCCCCTTCTCATCCTATGTACCGGACGCTCCCCCTGCTCATCCTATGTACCGGACGCTCCCCCTTCTCATCCTATGTACCGGACGCTCCCCCTGCTCATCCTATGTACCGGACGCTCCCCCTTCTCATCCTATGTACCGGACGCTCCCCCTGCTCATCCTATGTACCGGACGCTCCCCCTTCTCATCCTATGTACCGGACGCTCCCCCTGCTCATCCTATGTACCGGACGCTCCCCCTTCTCATCCTATGTACCGGACGCTCCCCCTGCTCATCCTATGTACCGGACGCTCCCCCTTCTCATCCTATGTACCGGACGCTCCCCCTGCTCATCCTATGTACCGGACGCTCCCCCTTCTCATCCTATGTACCGGACGCTCCCCCTGCTCATCCTATGTACCGGACGCTCCCCCTTCTCATCCTATGTACCGGACGCTCCCCCTGCTCATCCTATGTACCGGACGCTCCCCCTTCTCATCCTATGTACCGGACGCTCCCCCTGCTCATCCTATGTACCGGACGCTCCCCCTTCTCATCCTATGTACCGGACGCTCCCCCTGCTCATCCTATGTACCGGACGCTCCCCCTTCTCATCCTATGTACCGGACGCTCCCCCTGCTCATCCTATGTACCGGACGCTCCCCCTTCTCATCCTATGTACCGGACGCTCCCCCTGCTCATCCTATGTACCGGACGCTCCCCCTTCTCATCCTATGTACCGGACGCTCCCCCTGCTCATCCTATGTACCGGACGCTCCCCCTTCTCATCCTATGTACCGGACGCTCCCCCTGCTCATCCTATGTACCGGACGCTCCCCCTTCTCATCCTATGTACCGGACGCTCCCCCTGCTCATCCTATGTACCGGACGCTCCCCCTTCTCATCCTATGTACCGGACGCTCCCCCTGCTCATCCTATGTACCGGACGCTCCCCCTTCTCATCCTATGTACCGGACGCTCCCCCTGCTCATCCTATGTACCGGACGCTCCCCCTTCTCATCCTATGTACCGGACGCTCCCCCTGCTCATCCTATGTACCGGACGCTCCCCCTTCTCATCCTATGTACCGGACGCTCCCCCTGCTCATCCTATGTACCGGACGCTCCCCCTTCTCATCCTATGTACCGGACGCTCCCCCTGCTCATCCTATGTACCGGACGCTCCCCCTTCTCATCCTATGTACCGGACGCTCCCCCTGCTCATCCTATGTACCGGACGCTCCCCCTTCTCATCCTATGTACCGGACGCTCCCCCTGCTCATCCTATGTACCGGACGCTCCCCCTTCTCATCCTATGTACCGGACGCTCCCCCTGCTCATCCTATGTACCGGACGCTCCCCCTTCTCATCCTATGTACCGGACGCTCCCCCTGCTCATCCTATGTACCGGACGCTCCCCCTTCTCATCCTATGTACCGGACGCTCCCCCTTCTCATCCTATGTACCAGACACTCCCCCTTCTCATCCTATGTACCGGACGCACTCCCTTCTCATGCTATGTACCAGACACTCCCCCTTCTCATGCTATGTACCGCCGGTAACATTAGAACAGTTTGCACTTATCATGGTCCATCTCTTGACATCATTGCTCAGACAGAAGTTTTAGTTATTTCTCCGAACCCTGAGAACACAAATGACCGAGACAAGTGGACTGCGACGTGAAAGCGTTTGAAAACTTGGAACATTCAGCACACGAGGTTCCCCATAAAATTCCCGGCCGCAGATTTTTTGCACTCGCACTCATCTCCGGGCCGTCAGCAGCGGGATTCAAATGTTGTTTATCTTTGCTATAGAATTTGATGGGAACGTTATCGGGAGTTCTCTCACACAAAAGGAACTTTTTGTTTCAGGTTTTCTGGTCCTTTTGAGAAAGAAAAAGTAAAGAGGCTGAGCCCTGAAGCCCCTCAGCGGCTGGAGGGCTGGTTCTCCTCGCCTTACCAAAACAGGGGGGCGGGGTCAGCTGCTTAGCAGGTCGGTGGCATTGCGTCCCCCCCCCGGTCCATGGGTTTGGTTAAAGCTCCGGGTCCCCCCTCACCAAACCCATCGAGCTCTCCGACAAAAAACAAATACAAAAATAGAACGACCGTTTCCACGCCGGGTGCCACCAGCTTGACGTTCCCCCAAGGAAAGTATCACAAGACGCTCGGCGAGCGGACGCACGCCTATTTACAAAAAGACTTCCCAGAAATAGAAATATAGCCGTGTGTAAACACTACATTTTTTTTTTCCCCCTCTTCACATATGGCAACAGAACAAAATACACTGTATGATCAAAGTCTTTTGGGCCCGTAGAACAGGGAGAGTAAGACACAAGTAGGCGGCCGCGGGTTGTTGTTTTTTTGTTGTTGGTTTTTCAGGAGGATTCTTCTCCTGGTTATTCGCAGGCCAGTTTGCTGTCAAAGCTGGACAGGGCTATGGCGAACGCCTGCAGGGCGCACATGGGGTAATTGTAGTCCATTGTAAACACGTCCTCTGCTACGCGGCCAAACTGCATGACAATGTAGTCCGCTGAAAGAGAAAACGACAGGTCAGGGCGGCAAACAGCAACAAGATACGTGTGAGAAAAAACATAATTCACAGCCCAGGTCACATGACCATGTGCTCCGCCCCCCTGCTGTATTATAGGGCTGAGGATGAAAACAGATCTGCAGGCTCCACCCCCTGCCCCTTTTCCTGACTCTCATTGGACTACAGACCAGCATCACCAGCGAGGACCACCCTATGCTCTCATTCTGTAAGCAAACCCATGTACCTTCTCTTACCACCGGTCAACACTAAGAGACTGCTCCTGCAAGTCTTATGTCAACGTTTAGGTGCATGGAGTGATTCAAGAGAATCCTCTTGAAGAAAAAAAGATAAGTGACCTCAAGTTTGTTTTCTTACAATAAAGAAGAAGCTTGCACTGCGCGCATGTAATCACTGGAGATCACAAACTGCTATGGTGTAAATTGCTGAGCGCCCAAAAAAAAAAAAGAAGAGTTCTCTTTTGCTTAAAGGAGAACTATGGGGGGGGAGGGGGTGCCTAACTCCCCTTAGGCTGGGTTCACACCTGGGCGTTGCTATAGGCGCGTTTTAGGGTGTTTTTCAGCACGTTTTTTAGTTCAGTGAAACGCGCGTTCGACGCTCGTTTTTATACCTCCCTGGCGGTATGATTTTTTTTTTCTTTTTTTTTTAACTTTCAAACTTCCCGCCGGTTCCGCCCCCCTGCGACGCGGACGCTCGCAAGGGACGAAACCCGGAAGCGGCCAGAGGACACAGCGGGGATCGCGGACAAGGTAAGACCTACGCTGTGTATTCCCGAGTGTGGCTCGGGGGTTACCGCTTTTTTAATACAAAACACAAAAATTCCCCAGCCTCAGTCCCAGCGTGCATTTTTGGTTGCTGGGCCCCCAGTGCGTCCCTGCACCTTATTAGGAGGAGTTGGCTACCTCCAGGTACACCTGCATGTAAATGTATCCACTTCATTAATATGCTCACACTTGGAGACTCGGATACAGAGAGTTAGGACCGCACTTTGCAGAGGTGCCTTGGCGCGGCGGTGCGGTTTCTACATATTTTTGGCCAAAAGTTTGTGCAACTAAAACCTCTGATTTTAACGCATACTGTTGACAGGGCTACTTGTTTGGTTGCAGGCTGGCTGGCAGGCTGAGGCTGGGGAATTTTTGTGTTTTGTATTGTTGTAAGCCTTCCCAATGTGCGCCCTGCTATAAAGGCCGGTTATAGATTCATGCAGGTACCATTTTTTCTAGTTTTACCGCTTTTTTAACCCCGAGCCACACTCGGGAATACCAATGGATAGGCGCAGAAATACGCCCCAGAGAAGCTCCTGTACTTGTTTGGGCGTAGGGCGTTTCTACGCGCTGAAATACGCCCAGGTGGGAACCATGACCATAGGAAAGTATGGGATTTCACTTGCTGAGCGTTTTTCAGCGCTTCGATCAGCCCAGGTGTGAACCAGCACTTAGAGATGAATAGTAAACACCAGTGAGAGGCAATTCAGGAACACGTCAGTCTACCCTCATCCAGGGGCCACATGAGGACTTCAGATAACTAAGAGTGACGGACATATTCTACTTTATTCATTGCACCTCCAGTGTAGGCCGGGCTGCTGACCAATTGTTTGCCACCGGAGGTATGTGGTGTGCGGTGGCCCTTTTCACATTTTTATGAGATCCAGTATGGAGCCGGAGACAAACTCAAAAGGGATTTTTTATAAACCTGTCACTATGTGTCCTTCAAGCCCAACAATACCAGGAGCCAGAAGCCGGAACATCCAAAAGACCAACACACAGCCACAAGAGAAGTAACTGGGTATATGCCGTGCAGTGCAGGGAGGGATGCAAAGACCTGAACAACCTCTCAGCTCATGAACATAGGAGGATCATTTCTACAGGTCAGGACTCAACGGTCCTTCTACACCTTAAAAGAGAACTATGGGGTTAGGTCTTTTCCCCATAGTTCTCCTTAGGGTAACGGGAGGACACAAACTAGCGTCCTCCCGTCACCCTAGGCTCAGTATACCGCAAGCTGTAGCTCCCTATATACTGAGACGCCGCAGCCGAAGTGGATCCCGACAATTGTGCCGGGAGCCGCCCAGCTGCGTGACTGACAGCTGGCTCCGCCTATCTAGAGGCAGAGCCAGCTGTACCCGCCCCCTTTCCCGTCCAGTCAGCCAGATCGGAGCGGGGAGGGGGGAATCCAGCCCCTCCCCTGTCACGGCAGAGAGCCGTGACAGGATCGAGAAGTGAGCGAACGCCAGTATGTGTTCTCTCACTTCCCGTTCTACTGAGCCGACCTGTGACAGTCTCATTGTCTCAGGTCGGCTAGGACTATGAGGTGAGTGGAAAGCCCCCCCTCCCCCCC